TCATCCACCATGGGTTTATTGCTACAGCTAATCGCCATGTGTGGGCCCAGGAAAACCTTTCATTCTTCCACTTCTCCAGGGTTCTTAAATGATACTCTGCTGGAATTGGGCATCATTTTTCCTCCAGGATATTTTCTCTGAACTGCCTAGTCCCTAAAATGCCCCTCCTCTGTTCGCCATAAAATGAAATTCCCTCATTATAATTGTATATTTTCAATAGTCCATCTCTCCTATGATTTTTTTTTGAGGTAGGGGCTCATCGGTGTAAGATAAAACAGGATCTGGCTCCCATGCAGTTTGCATACGATTGTGAGAGACAAACAACAAACAATTACATGAGATAATTTCTGTATCCTAAGTGCAATACGTAAAAAAACACGGAGATCTGATGGCGCCCGGAAAAGGAAGCACCTCTGAGCAAGGACACTTAAGAGAGACCTGACCAAGAAGCTAGCCTCTCAAAGAGCGAGAAAGATCTTTCATTCCAGACACAGGAGTGGCAACTAGCCTCAGCACGGAGCACGGTGTTCCGGGAAATTCTGAGGGAATCCTACAGGAGAAGGGAGAGGTGTATTTGTAAAGATCTAGAGAGATATTTTAAGTAGCTATTTAAGGCTAATCCCTAACTCTGACTTCATCCAAGCAGCCGGTTAGGCGGCTACGTCCTATGAGGTCCGAAGGATGGAAGTGAAAGAAGCCTGCCGCTAAACCTGGCCTCTCAGATACCGTAGGTGGCTTGGACCATCCAAGCCTCCCTTTCTTCCTCGTCGGAGAGCCCTGGATCTACTTCTGCAGCTGGCCCACTAGGCCCGGGCACACGTGGAAGGAGCCACTGAGAAGCGGGCCACCTTTTAGACTCGGAAGGCTGGCCTAGTCTCACATCCTCTCGTACACGCCCGGCCAGCCGGCCAGGCCTCGTCTCCAGCCCGCGAGGCTCCGGGCCGATGGAGACTGACCGCAGGCTCAGAGGCTGGGGCACCGGGTCAGCACCTCCCGCCTGCAAGCGGCGGCCTGGGCTCGACTTCCCGCCTCCGGGAGCTGGCGAGCCCGCAACCGAGCTCCATTCAACACAGGAGCCGGGACCGGCCACACTGGGCTCTAGAACCCGGCTCCTCCAAGTCCTCGGGCCGCCTCCGTGTCCTCGACTCGCCCCTCCTTTCTGCTGCTTCTTCCTTTCCTTCCCCTCGCTTTTCCTGCTCCGAGTGGACCACGCTGGGGAAGGGATGGGGGAGGATTCCAGAAAGAAAGCGATGTGTTAGGCGAGAGGGGAGCAGAGGGAGAGGGCGCACACTGAGGAGTCCGGCCGCGAGAGGGAAGGGTGTCGGAGCGCCCGGCGAGGAGGGGCAGTCAGGCTGAGCAGGGCTGCGGGCGGGAGAACCAGAACGCGGGGAAGGCGGGGGGGANCAAATTTCTCCATCTCCTTGCCTTAGCTAAAAACTGGGTCTCCCTGGGAATTCCACTTTCTTCTGCACTAGATACTAGGTGCTGGACTGTGAATACAAGAGCAGGATTCAAGACCAGTAATGAGTGTCTGCTGTTTGGGTGGCTTTCAATAGTCCCAAGCCAAATATGTAAGGATTATCTATTGTTCTTCAGGTGACACTTGTGTCTTAGTATAAATAATTGTATTGTTTTCTTTATCAGCTTAAGCTGTAAATAATTTCAGTACATGTTATTACATATTTTATAATATGTCTATATGGCATAACATAGTAACATAAAACAGTAAACAATTTATTCTGTTCACAAACCCACAGACAGCTCAACAGATTATTGACAACACATGGAGTTTTCTTCTGAAGGGTAAGTGCTAGAAATATTTATACCCAATGGCTCTTCATTCCATCTGTGGATTATGAGTCGCTGAACTCTACCACCTTTCCTAGGGCACAGCAGTACCCCATATAATCCCTTGTATCCCCTTCCAACATGCCACCTAGAGTTATAAACTATAATGTTGCCTAAAATATTTTGTCATCTTCTACTACTCTCTAATCTCTAAACTGCCTTTGATATTTAGTTATTGTATATGGATGTATTCCAGGATTTCAGGTGTCTTTCAATCTGTTTAAATACTATCATAAACAAAATAATTTAATGTTATGCCATTTTCTATGGAAAAATATTTCATTTTACATTCATCTCCAGCTATTTATCTGTACAATGATGGTGCTGTTCCCACCAGTCTCTTGAGACATATAGCAAAGTTGTTCTCAATACTGGTTTCATATCAGAATCATCCCCAGAGAGGTTCAAAAATAGATTTGCTGACTGCAGACTTTAAGAATTAGAATCTCTGGGTTTGGGGCCCCAGATTTCTGTGGTTGTTACTTTCAAATTCTGGTTTAGGCTAATCTTTAAAACAGTGCAGGAAATAAACAGAATTAAGTAAAAATTTTCTGAACACTCCCTACCCCCCACCTCCCATTCTCACTTCCCAGGGCTAACCACTATTTTTCAAAATTTTTAATTAGCCTTCCAGAAATATAGGTGCATATAATTGTAAACACCCTTCCCCTAACATTTGGAAAATGTAAATAGGATCACACTATTTGTAACTTGCTTTCTTTGACTAGAAATAGATTCTGACAACTTTTATTATCAGGATATATATATATGCACTGCATTTTGTTTATGGCTGCATAGTTTTGTATTTTATGAATGAACCTAAACTTTTTCAAACCAGTCTCCTTTCAATAAATACATAAATTGTTTCCTTTCTCCTTTCTTGCATTTTTTTTTTGCTATTACATACAATTGCTCCAAAGAACCTTTTTTTGCGTCCTTATATGAGTTGCCTGTAGCAATTTATAGGAGTGAAATTAGTGAAGCTAAGGGTACATTCCCCCCCCCTTAATTCCCCCCCCTCAATCTCTCCCTCTCTCACACACATATGGGCATCTGCACATATGGATGTCTGTGTGTAAAATCTTTCAATACTATATGAGTGAAATTATATACACACACACCTACATATATATTTCTTTCCATACATATACATGCATATTACACATAAAATATATTTCCATCCATGTATTTATGTATATTTATCTTTGTATATTTATATGTTATAGGAGAATTACTGAGACAAAGGGTACATATATGCACATACAATTTTAATAAAAACTGTATAGTTGCCTTCCAAAACACTTGCACCAAGATACAATAGTGTATAGGAGTGGTGGTTTTCTGACAACTTTGCCAATGTTATCACTACTTTTTATTTTTGCCACACCTATAGATGTCATTGCTTCTGTTATACTTTACTAATGAATAAAATTGAAGATCTTTTCATATATTTTGACCACTTGACTACATGTATATCCTCTACTATAAACTCCCCATTATACTCTTTGCTCATTTTTTAACTGGGTTATCTTTTTACTCATTTATGTATTTATTGATATATTATAGAAGTTAATCTTTTGTCATGTATGTTCAAATAACAGTTTTTAAATCTTGCTTATGGTGTCTTTTGTCTTACACCTTTTGAGTTTCCAGTTTGAGCATGTGCAATATTCAGGAAGTTTCTCATAGAATTTTGATAATCAGGATTCCTCAGGGATAGCTGGTGTCTTTGTGGGGAGGGAATAGCACAAGGCAAGGTATATTAAGTAAAATGTCCTCTCCTATCTTTGCCTGGGATGAATTTGCTGATCCAACATAGAAAATTATTTTCCTCAACTCAAAAACAGAGAGATCTACGGAGTCAGTTTCTTTAGGCCAAAGGAAAAGAGCAAAGCAAAGCTTCAACATTTAGTGATTCTCTGTCTGTGAAAATGACCCACCGATAGTTCACTCCCTCTGACCATTAGTACAAAAGAAAGACCACAAGGCTAATAGCCCAAAGAGCTTGATAATTCCAGTCCTGACACTTGCTGGCCATAAAGTATCCAAGATTTGAGCCCCTCTGGGCCTCAGTTTCCTCACCTGTAAAATAGGGGTAGCTATCCCAAATTCAAAGGGCCACTGAGAGGATAAAAATAAGTAATACAAGTGAAAGTGCATACACATAATACTGCTCAGTTCTTGACCATACATTTTTTGAAGCGCATACAGCCAAAAGTCTTTGGAATGCCACAAACTCATTGTTTTGCTAAGATTCATCTTCATAATTGTGTTTTGCTGAGTCTAATATTAAAATTAGATAGAATTCCCCTGCATACCACAACTAACAAAACCCAGGTGTTGGGCAGCAGGGGAAAACCAAGATGAAGTCTAAATTCAAATTTTAAAAATTATATTCCTTGAACACAGAGCTTATTGTATAATGATCTTAATCCTCTCACTCAAATGGCATTCCTGTGAAGTGGGCAACTCCCTTATTCCCCATAACAAATTTGGATGGAGAGGAAATGGCTCTAGATTAAGCTATACAAGCCCAGTCAATACAGACAGATCCCTGAATTTAAACTTGGCTTGGAAATTGAGGCTCAGCCATACCCTCAGGCATAATGGCATACCATGATGCTTTATTTTATTTGTCAATTAGCTTGACTATGCTACCCAATTGTTTGATCAAACACCAGTCTA